CCCCTCCCCCATTTCAGAAGAAGGGTCTCGACCTGAAATGTCAGCTTTCCTACTCCTCTGATGCTGCTTGGCCTGCTGTGTTCATCCAGTTCTACACCGTGTTATCTCAGAATAGTTAGGTTGTTGTTTTCAACCAGCTTGGACATGATAGGCCGCAGGGCCTTTCTGTGTGCTGCAGATCTCTATGGCTATTATCAGAGAGCAATCAAAACTCCATCCTGTAGCTTTTGCAGGCACAATTCTTCTGACTTAAACACAAACACAATTCAAAAATCAGTTCAAACTCTGGCCTCTTCCTCCCACACTGCCAATCTCTTCACAAAGTCCCAATTAACCTTCATCATCTGTCGTCTGCTTGAGCATAAGGTCTCTCCTTGAAGTGTTGGAAGTATCCATAGAGCACTTTCTAATAAGAAACAATTTGCAATTAACTTACAGGCCTACGCCTCAAAAACAAATAACAGCTTGTTTATTTTACCTTTTAAAACACAAGTACTGCTCACAGTTCAAAGGTCACCTTTCAGCTTTCAGCTCACATCTCCAAGACACAAATTGATAAAAAAAATCAGCGAGGCATCTTTCACTATTTGTACTTAAAGTTGACAAGGCACTGGAGCCAATTGAAAATGTATCCAAGGATTCTGAAGCAAGTGAAAAGTTGCAGGGACCCTGGCCATAGTCTTTCAGTCTTCAGTAGACTCTGGGAAGGTGCCTGAATACTGGAAAACTGCAAACATTATGGCCTTGTTCAAAAAGGTTGTAAGGATAAACCAAGCAAATACAGACTGGTCAGTTTAACTTGGGGAAGCTACTAGATACAATTAGTCAGGATAGAAGTAATAGTTACGTGGAAAAAGATAGATTGATTAGAAATCCTGACTCTAAAGGAGAAATCTTGTTTAACTAACTTACAGGAATTTTTTTGAAGAGGTACCAGGCTCGATGAAGGTAGCGCCATCTATAAGTTTGCTGATGACCCCACTGTAGTATGGATGGATATCTAACAACGACAAATCAAAGTACAGAAGGGGGATAGAGGGCTTGGTGATGTGGTGCAATGAGAACAACCTCTCTCTCAACATCAGCAAAACTAAAGAACTGATCATTGACCTCAGAATATAGGAGGAAAACACTCCCATCTACATCAGTGGAACTGAGGTTGAGAGGGTGGACAGTGTCCAGTTCCTTGGAGAGATGATAACCGACAACCTGGCCTGGACTTTCCATGTAAATGCAATGGTAAAGAAGGCACAATGATGCCTCTTCTTCCTCAGGCGGCTCAGGTAATTTGGCATGTCCACAAGGACCCTCACCAACTTCTATAGATGCACAATTGAAAGCATACTGTTCGGGTTCATAACGGCCTGGTATGGCAACTGCTCTGACCAGGAATCTTAAGAAACTACAGAAGGTGGTGTGCACAGCCCAGACCATCATGGAAGCTGACATTCCATCCATGGACTCCACTTACACAGCTCGTTGCCGTGGAAAGGCTGCCAACATCATCAAAGACCCATCGCACCCTGATAATGATCTCCTACAACCTCTTCAGTGAGGTAGAGGATACAGAAGCCTGAACATGCAAGCAGATTCAGGAACAGCTTCTTCCAGCTTTGTTAGACTGATGAATGGACTCTCTGGCCTCAGAAAATGCTGCTCTTGCTAATGTTGACCTCGCCTAGCACACACCCTATGCAGTGTAACCTGTATACCTCCGTCTAATTCTTTTTGATCTGTACATCCTTGCTTATTATGATCTGCCTGTACTGCTCATAAACAAAGCTTTTCACTGTACTTCGGTACACGTGACAATAAATCAATCAATAAATCACTGTTGATGCTGTGTACGTCAGCTTTCAGAAGACATTTGATATGGTGCCATACAACAGACTTTTGAGAAAAGTTATGGGACATGGAATAAAAGAGTCAGTAGCAACAAAGGTACAAAATTGCATGAGTGATGGGAACCAGAGAACATTAGTCAATGGATATTTTTCGGGCTAGAGTAATTAGTGGAATTTCACATGGGTCAGTATTGGAACCCTTGCTTTGCCTGATGTATATTGATGACCTGGATCTTGGTGTGCTGGAGGCAGTGTCAAAGTTTGCAGATGACACAAAACTTGGAAGAATTGTAAACTGTGAGGAAGACATGTAGAACTCCAAAAGAGTGTAGACAAGTTGGTGGAGTAAGCAGACAGGTGGCAGATATGTTTCAATGAAGAGAAGTGTGAGGTGGTCCATTTTAGGAGGAAGAACAGTGAAAGCCAATATAAATAGGAAGTACAGTTCTAAGGGAGGGTGCAAGAACAGAGGGACCTGGGTGTAATGATCTGGGTGATCGGATCATTGAACGTGGCAAGACAAATAGAGACAGCAGTAAGTAAAGCATACAGTATCCTCGGCTCTGTTAATAGGGCATAGAGTGCATGAGCAAGAAGGTGATAATGAACTTGAATAAGACACTTGTTAGACCTCAACTGAGGGTATTGTGTACAGTTTTGGGTGCCAAATCATACGAAGGATGTAACTGCATTGGAGAGAGTGCAGAAGCACTTTACAGAAGTTGTTCCAGGGATGAGGAACTTCCAGTATAATGATAGATCAAAGAAGGTGGGAATTGGTCCCCTTGGAGAGCAGAAGGCTAAGAGGAGCCCTGATCGAGGTTTTGAAAATCCAAGTGGGCTGGATGGAGTTGATAGGGAGAGACTGTTCCTGTTCATAAAAAGAAAAAAAACAAGAAGGATAGATTTAAAGTGAGCTGCCAAAGAAGAAAGGGTGAAGCAAAGAAAAATGTTTTCACTCAGCAAGTAGTTAGGGTGTGGAGAACACTGATTGGCAGTGTGGTGGAAGCATGATAAATTGAAGTATTCAAGAGCACATTGGATGATTATTTGGATAAAATGATGTGCAAGTGTATGGGGAAAAGCACGAGGGTAATGACACTAATTTAATGAGCCAGTGCAGGCACCATGGACCACGTTGTCCCCAACTCTGTGACATTTCTGTTATTCTTTATAGAGAATAAATTGTTTTTTTTTAACCTGACTTCGCCTAATCCAGACTAATAACCACAGTATAGTATTGGGAGCACCAGGCATGAGGAGCTTGAACAGCTCATCAACTTTACTGACACCTTTCACCCCAACTTCAAATGCACCTGAACCATCTCTGATACCTCCCTCCCCTTCCTGGACCTCTCCATCGCCATCTGTGATAACCATCTCAATACCGACATCTATTTCAAGTCCACTGACTCCTGTAGCTACCTGGTCTACACCTCCTCTCACCCACCCTCCTGCAAGAATGCAATCCCTTACTCCCAATTCCTCTGCCTCCACTGCATTGAGGGGAAGCGATGGCCTAGTGGTATTATCGCAATATATTCTGGAGGAACATTCTGGGGACCTGGGTTCAAATCCCGCCATGGCAGATGGTGGAATTTGAATTCAATAAAATATCTGGAATTAAGAATCTAATGATGACCATGAATCCATTGTCGCTTATTGGAAAAACCCATCTGGTTCACTAATGTCCTTTAGGGAAGGAAACTACCATCCTTACCTGATCTGGCCTACAAATGACTCCAGACCCACAGCAATGTGGTTGACTCTCAACTGCCCACAGGGCAATTAGGGAAGGGCAATAAATGCGGCCTAGTCAGTGATGTCGTCATCCTGTTAGTGAATAAAGAAAAAAAGAATCCACTCCCAAGATCGAGCATTCCACTCCCGGCCATCGCAGATGTCCTCCTATTTCAAGGACCACAACTTTCCCCCAACGGTGATCAGAAATGCCCTCAATCGCATCTCTTGCATTTCATGGACCTCTACCCTCAAACTCACCCTCCCCCCAACAATAATAAAGACTGAATTCCCCTTGTCCTCACGTACCACTCCACCAACCTCTGCATCCAGTGTATCATCTTCCGCCACTTCCACCACCTGCAATCCCACCCAACTACCAAAGAGATATTTCCCTCCCCATCCCTATCTGCCTTTCGTAGGAACCGTTCACTCCACAACTCCCTTGTCCGCTCCACGCTCTTCACTAACCCCACCACACCTCGCACCTTTCCCTGCAACCGCAGGAAGTGCTACATTTGCCCCTACACTCCCCTGTCACCTCCATCCAAGGCCCAAAACAAACTCTCCATTTCTGACAGCTGTTCACCTGTATATCCTCCAACCTGGTCTACTGTATTTGTTGCTTCCAATGTGGCCTCCTGTGCATCAGTGAGACCAAGTGCAGGTTCGGAGCATCTGCGCTCTGTACGCAATGAGCAACAACACCTTCCGGTTGCTAACCATTTTAACTCCCCCTCCCACTTCTTTGATGACATGTCTATCGTGGGCCTCCTCCAGTGCCACAATGTTGCTACACACAAACTGGAGGAGCAACACCGCCCCGCCCTTCCCACTGACCAATCCCCACTACTCCCTACTTACATTCATCTATTACCATCCCACCTATCTACCCCCCCAGCCCCACCCCTCCTCCCCCTATTTATTTCCCAGCTCCCTTCCTCCTCCTCAGTTCTGAAGAAGGGTGCTGACTCGAAACATCAATTTTCCTGTTCCTCTGGTGCTGTCTGACCTGCTGTGTTCCTCCAGCTCTACACTGTGTTGACTCTGATTCCAGCATCTGCAGTTCTTGCTATCCCAAAGATCCTGAGGGAACTTAGTAGACCAGATGCTAAAAGGACGTTTGCTGTTGTGGGAGAGATTAGAACTCAAGTTTACAGTTTAAAAATAAGGAGGTTCCCACTTGAGATGGAGATAAAGAAAAATTCTTTCTCTCAGAGTTGTGAGTTTGAGAAATTCTTTTCCCAGATAGTGTTGGAAGCAGAGTTACTGATTGTTTTTAAGACCGTTAGATAGATTCCTGACTAACAAGGGAGTCAAAGAGTCATAGAGATCAAGAGCACAGACAAAGGCCCATCGCATCAGCACCAGTCAAAAACAACCACCTAACTATCAGAGTATTGTGGGTAGGCAGGAAAGTGGAGTTGAGACAATAATCTAGTCAGCCAGATCTTATTGAATGGTGGAGCAGGCCCAGAATACTGAATGGCCTACTCCTGCCCCTCATTCATATGTTTGCATTTATGTATTGCCTCTCAGAAACAGCATTAAACCGAGGCTTTGCCTGTCAATTCAGATGGCTGTAAATGGCCCCATGACAATATTTTAAAAAATGCCAGCTAGTTTTTGTGTCTCAGCCAACGTGCAGCCTTCAGTCAACATCACCAATTTGCAGGCTGTACTGTGAAAGACTTTTGGAACATGCAATTTGTTATTTAAATGCAAGTCTTTTTCTCCCAGTGAATTAGCTGGAAAATAGTTTCAGCTCCTTAGTATGGTACCCGACTAGCAAATCCAAGTGCTGAGTTCTAATAATACCATGGCGAGTTCTGAAACTGAATTGATTAAATTTATGGGCTATGAGGAACTTGATCAATAATTGTAATCATTCAACTCGTTCATGAATGTCCCTAAGGACAGTGGTTTTCAACTAGTGTGCTGTCAACTTTTCAGGAAGTAGCGCTGCTTTACCTGTGCATTGAAGCCATGACCATGCTTCTGATCTCCTCTGGAGCCTTGCTGCCTATTATTGAAGGCAATATCTGTTAACATTGGTGCTCCTATTGATTGAGCATGCACTAGCATCCAGAGTTGGGCATATGTCGACATCTGATACTGTGCATTTGCGCAGATTTGACACCGCATATGCTGAAGAAGTAAGTGTACCATGAAATTGTTTGTCTCATTCAGGTGTGCCTTAAAACTGATTGGGAACACTATCAAAGGGAAGGAAATGTACCAGAACTGGTTGATAATAAGAACTGCAGATGCCGGAGTCAGATTTGATACATTGTGAATCTAGAGGAACACAACAGGTCAGGCAGCATCAGAGGAATAGGAATGTTGACGTTTCAGGTTGGGACCCTTCTTCAGAACTCGGGGTTGACCCTCCAAGGTCCCGACCCGAAATGTCGACTTTCCTACTCCTCTGATGCTGCTTGACGTGCTGTGTTCCTCCAGCTCCACACTGTACCAGAACAGGTTGGTCTGGCTTACACATGACTCCAAAACCACATTGTGCAGTTGTCTTTTAATGGCCTCAGGTCAACTTGGTACAAAGATGGTCTTGTCAGTGGCACCCACATTCCAGTTACGTTTGTTTTGAAAAAATGCTGCTATTAATGCGCATAAGCAAATAATCTTTACTTACATTTGCTCGGTTAATTGGCAGATCAAAAGTACGGACCTTAAATATCTTTTTATTAAAGTTTTTTAGATTTTATTGTCCCATGTACTCAAGTACAGAAGTATAGGAATACAATGAAATGTGTGTAAAGTCAGCAATCATGATGCCATCTAATGTACTAGGTACAAAAAAAGCTTAAGTACAAATAGTAAGAGAAATGAGAGTTAAAAGGTTAAGCATTACTTCACAGAATAGTTGAAAAATAAAGAAATAGGTAATAGTTTACATTAAAGGCTTTTGTAGTTTAAACTAGGAAAATAAAGGAATAGTTAAAAGTTCAACAGCCTTTGACAAGTCCTCCGTTTATCTCGCTCTGTTGTCTGTTGTTGCTGCTGCTGCCGAAGATACTGTCTCTGCTGCTGAAATACTAATAAATACCAATGGATACTAATAAATCTAACATGTACAGACCACTATTTGTATTTTACTTGATTTTGGATTGTGGACTGAATTGGGAAAAGGGTTGTTTTACAACAAAGGACTGAGGAAAAAATTGCTGTACTTTTATAAAGCAAGTTACTGAAATACATTGTGGGAAATGTTTACACTTTGCAAGCAGTGGGGG